CAACCCCTGTGATTCTGTGATTCTATGTGGCTGTGGTTTCTCAGCCTGCCCACTGTGTTCTCCTGGCTTCCTTACACTCTGTTCCTCTGCAGGTCAAGTTTTCAGTTACCCAGATGGTTTTTTGGCCCCTGACCTGGCCCTGCTGCTCATCATGGGCATGCTGGAGGCGCTGCGGTCGTACCTGGGTATGTCCTGTTCCCCCCTGGGCTTTCCCCAGGCATCATTCTGAAATGGAGCACGTGTCCATGCCACTCTAGTAGATATTTGGAGACTTGTTCATTGATGTCCTTAAACTTGGAGGCTTTTAGGATAGTTGAGTCCAACCCTTAACCTAATTCTGCCAAGGCCACCACTAAAAGCTGTGTGGTCATGGTAGTGTTGGGTTGATGGTTGGACTTGATGACCTTGGGGCTCTTTTACAACCTTCATGATTCCATTAAAATCTGTGTTTGATGTTCCTGAGACTGTGCCAGGCAAGTCTGTTGAGTTCAGCTGACTTGCTGGTGGGGTGAAGTGACTCTGCTGCCTTACAGCTCTCTGCATCTGCTTCCCTGGAGCCTGGTGGGTGGATAAAGGAGAGACTTTAATGTAGTTAAACTGCCAAATCTACTGAGACTGGCTTGGGAATAAGATGCAAGGAAGAGCCACGTGCAGCTCCTCCACGGGGATGGTCATTTGAAGCAGGAGGATGTTAGCAGGGAGTACAGAAGGGTCTCTGTTGCATCAGGCTTCAGGAGCAGGGTGGGATGTTGTGAGGTGTGCACCACGGTCACCAAGGGGTGAGGGGTCACCGTGGTGAGGGGCTGGGGGAGCTTTGGTGGATGATGAAGAAGCTGCATGATCAGTGGTGGCAACCTCAGCACTGGTTGGCTGGGGGAAGAAAAGGGGGTGTTGTGGGAAGAAAAGGAGGTGTTGTAGGAGAACAAGGGGGTGTTGTGGGAAGAAGAGGTGTTGTGGGAAGAAAAGGAGGTGTTGTGGGAAGAAAAGGGGGTGCCTGTTGCTGGTTGCTCAGCGTGCCCTCTGTCAGCTCCAAGCAGACTGTTGGTGTTGGGGTTTCTCCTCGGGCTCCCTGCCAGCTGGGCTCAGGCTGGCTCTCCAGCCTGCCCGAGGTGTGAGAACTGGAGCAGGGCTGCTGTGCCCTGGCAGCGTGTGGAGTGCTCCAAAGGAACCCAGGCTCACAGCAGCTTCTCTCTCCCCCCAGGCTCCCAGGGGAACCTGAGAGAGGAGGAGGCCCCGCTGGGGCTCAGCCTGGCGCTGACGCTGGGCAGCGTGGGGGTGTCTGTGCACTTCCTGCTGTGGCAGAGCTACGTGCTGAGGGCAGAGGTGATCCTCAACGCCCTGCTCCTCACTGCCTACGGCCTGGAGTCTGCCCTGAAGGTCATGGCCATTGCTGCTGCTCTCAGCTAAGCCCTGCCACTTTTCAACACGTTTTCTGCTGTGAAAGAGTGGGTTTGCCTTTCAAATCTTTAATCCTTTTGTAAAAAAAAACCCTGTAAAACTTCCCTCTGTTTGAAGTTCAGGGTTCTGAGGGGCAGAGAATGGCAGGTACAACATCCTGTCCACTCATTGCTGGGCAAAGGCAGGAGGGGGTTCAGCAAAACCTCTCCATGCTCTGCTGTGCACCAGGGGTCAGGATGAAATACTCATTCCCCACACCAAGTAGTAGCCAGTGCATCATCTCTGTGCTGAGACAATCGTGCGTTTCAAGTGCTCAAACTTATATTGAAATTTATATTTAAAATTCCCTATTTTTGTATTTATTTATTCAAATAAATAATGCTTTAGATCTAAGCAGCGTTTGAAGTGCAGAGCATCTTGTTCAGATCCTGGGCTGCAGCTAAAACATTTCTTCCTTCTTCTCTAGTCTAAATCTCCCTCTTTTAGTTTCAAACCAGCCCCACCCTGTCACAACAGGCCCTGTGTCACCCCTGGCTCATCCAAGGCCGGGTCACCCCAGCCCAGACATCCCAGGGATGGGCACAAACCCCTGGGGCCAGACCCTGCCACGACCAGGAGCGAGGCTGCACCCACAAAGACAACATCACAGCAGCACAACTGGGTGCTGGGAGCAGCCAGGAACTGGAGGGACCAAATGTTTCTGTGCTTACCCTGCGTGAATCCACCCCCCAGCCGTTTGTCCTTCACAGTGGAATGTCCCCATCACTCAGGAGGAGGGACAGACCCACCCAGCTGGATCTGCCCTGCTCCTGAGGGACACACACCAAGCAGAGCCTCCCTCTGTGTGCACACAAACAAACACACACTTCTCTGGGCGTTTGCACCTGCCTCCTACAAAGCTCTGACAGCAGAACATCTGACTGGGTTTGAAGGAAATAGGTCAGAGTAGACTGGTTTGTTACCTGGATGTACAGCACACAGGGTCACACACGTTAACTTCCTCTGCACTTCACCTTCCTTCCCGTGGGGCTCACTGCCTACAAAATAAACACCCAACATTGGCACAACTGGAGGTGGTGAGACCCAGGGTGTAGACTCAGGAGATGCCAGTAAAGCAAGTGGAAGGTGTTGCTACCTCGAGATGTTCCACCCCAGCACAGATCACACACCCCCCCTCAGCTACAGCCCAACGACCATTTGTGAGGCTGCTCCACAAAACTGGATCCCCAGCCTGGTCCGTGCAGAAAACAGCCCTCAAAAAGGGTTCTGATGAAGGGGTTAATGAGGTGATGGCTGCCCTGTGTCTGCCACATCTGCTTGGGACAGTCTGCTGCACCACACGGAGTCCAGCAGCCTCCTCCTCCAGCTTCATAAGCAGTGGGGTTCAGGTTTTTATAGAAATGTGTTGTAAATGGTGTGAATCCTTTGCTCCCCAACCACCACCCAGGCAAAAGCCAGGAATGAGCAGAGTGCCAGCACTTGCAGAGAGTCAGCCAGGGGGTGAACAGGCACTTGGGATAACAGACATCCCCTTCTGGGCTCGTGCCAGGGCACTGCCTGGCAGCTTCCAGACTGGCCACGGAGGCCTGGGCAGCTCTGGGGTCAGCTGGCACCGACCTGGCTCTGCACCCTCAAAGGGGCAGGACAGCTCTGGGCCAGTCTTCCAGTTTAAGGTAAAATTGCCCATCAACTGACTAGATGAGCAGATAGTGGGGTACTTCTGCTGCTGCCAGCCCCCTGCTCTGTCGAGCACAGAAGGATGAAGAAGTCTGTAAGCTTCAGACAACTCCTTCATCCTGGGTATTGCCAGGCTTTGAATGGGAATCCTCATCTCTGCTGGTGACCCTCATTGCCTGACAGCTTCTCTCCATGCCAGGCTGCTACAAAGGCCAGAAGTGAATCAGGCCCTGGCCTGGGAGTTTCTCTGCTGTTTCCTGCCCCACCCCCTGCCCCAGCCATTGGGAGCAGCAGGCAGGGCACAGTGAAGCCACTGATGACATTTGCCAGACAGAAGATTGCTGGAGCTTTTAATTACGAGGCCCAGCCCTTCTGAAACAGGACGAGCAAGTTGGATGAAAATGGCATTAAAAATTTAGAGGAACCCATATTTTGAGGAGCTGGGTTTGGGTGTTGTTTACTCTGTAAGGGAGAAGCCTTTGTTCTCAAGCCATCACAGGGGTGTCTGCCGCCAGCCTCATTTAAAAGGCTGATCCCGAGAGGGAAGTGATCCTCCTGGGATCTGCGACGGGAGACAGGGGGGGCCCTGCTGCCCACGGCGGC